GGAGGGAGGGGAAGCGGGAGGGAGGGGCCGGGGCGCTCAGAAAGGGGCCCCGGGGGCTCAGGGCGCCATCTTTTTCGCGTTTTCCCGCGAATTATTGACGTCCCGCTTATGTAATTAGAAGGGGCCGCGCTGGCCTCGCCATTGGAGCCCGCTGCCGCCGGTCCCCGCCCGCCGCCGCGCACACGCAGAGCCCGCGGCAGGCGCGGAAGCCGCCCCGTTCGCAGGGCGCAGCCCCGGGCCACGGAGGAGGAAGCTGAGCCCAGCCCCGCACCGCCTGCAGCTGCACAGAAGCCCTGCGGGGCGGAGCGGGCTGCTGAGCATCTCTTAGCCACAGACGCATGACGACCAAGAGAGGTCGACCAGCACCTGCATTACAACATGGACCTTCTGCCCAAAGAGGGAAAAGCGGCGTAGCATGAACTAGACACAGGTAGTGCGTGAGCGCATGGACACGAGTCACCATGGCGTCCCCAGCACAGACCCAAAGGACTTAGATACAAGACGACAAGCAGAGGACTGCAGTGTGTAACGACACAGACACACAAGAATACAAAATTGCGTACATGGTGCACGCAACACAAGATCAACTGTACACGCTATATACGCAAACAACGGAAGTGGCTCGCAATGAAAGATTGTAGAGGATAACATATTGTGGCAGTGAGCATGGCTCCAATCAGATAAGGTACCTGCGCTCTGGAGAAAAAGCAGACTTGGCCCCACCTAGAATCACCCTCTAGGGGCAGGGGCAGGTCAGGGAGAGAAGTTTGGCCAACAAATCTCCCATTTCCATCTCTGCCCTCAGTCTCCAGTGCCCCCCTACCTGCCATGATTGCCCTCAGCAGATGCCACCAGAAGGCTATAGACATGGTACAGCCAGTACACCTTCCCCAGAGCCTTCTCCCTTACTGTCGAGTGGCCCACTCTCCTCCCTCTGTCTCAGTCCTCCAGCCTGGAGATGTAGGATCCTTCCACCCATTTCTCACTTCCTTCCACTCTCCATCTTGTTGCCCCACCTGCCTTCCTGCCCCATTCTGGCTCTGTGATCCAACACAGAACCTCAGTAGTTTGGAGCACAGGAAAGAAAAATAGCAGTAGCCCTAACAGACAGAGTCTGCCAGTTTCCTCTCCCAACCCCCAGCAAATCCGTGAGTCCCCAGAGGCCCTGCAAGACTATGCCACATACCCTTGCTCTGCAGAGAGCATGTGTCCGGTGCAGGTGGGACTGAAGATGTGAGCAGGATACTTACATTTGCTTCTCAACCAGCCCGGGGTAACTTAGACCAAGATGTAGGGGCAGAGACTGTAGGAGAAGGCGCCCCTCTGTGGCCTACATGCCAGCTCCACCTTTTACTGGCTGTAGGACCTAGAATGTCATTTCAACAGTTAATCCTCCGTTTCCTCATCCAAATAGACTGTTAGGAAGGTTAGAGGCAATGTTTGCAAAGGACATGGTGTCCAGTGGATGCAGAAAGTGATTGTCAACAATTCTATACTCCCTTGGGTGGGACCAGACCTGAAAGCTGGGGGCATTCACGTGAGCAGAAGACCCACGACCTTCTGAGGAAGCCACTGTTGGAGCATGTAGCAAGGGCAGTACCAATAAGAGAGACTCGTGTGGTGACTTGTACATGAATCGGGGCGTCCCAGCCCTGAAACCAGCTCTGTGTCTGAACCACTGTGGGATCTTAGGAGAGCTAGTTCCAATTTGACGTGTTCAAAGGTGGCAATAATGCTATCTTTGTCTAGATAAAGGTTAGAGAAAGGCTGTTGTCTAGATATAAAATGAGAAAGGAGCAGGTGCTTTGATAAACTACAAAGCAGTATGCAAAATGGGTTGTTAGAACACTACAAGACAGGAATTGATAATGCCACAAGAAAGGTGGGGTGATGCTTGTGGTTGATTAGAAGTTAAGTTTTATAGAAAAGGTGGCATTTAGATAGAACGCAGGAATGACTGGTCAGTGTTCCAGGTGGAGGGGGTTTGATGGGCTGACCAAACACTCCCAGTTACTGGCTTTTTAAACTGGGTAAGGGAAATCAACAGGTAATTCACAAAAAAAGAAGCAAAAAATATGAAAAACAATGGGCAACCACATTGATCATGTGACAGATGCAATGAAAAGAACCATGTCACCCCATTTCACGTCCACCTGACTGGCCAAGTGTAGGCAGTCTGTCGATGGGGGGCACTAGACGTCCTGAGGATGTAGCACTTCTGCCCCCTTACCCTCTGCTGATGGGGATGGACGTTGGTACAATTTGAGTAACAGTTTGGGAATATCTCATAAAACTGAAGGCACTCATGTACAATATAAGGACTACTTATTCAACATCAAATGGTAAACATTAGACATTTACACAGAAATCTACATAAATTATAACCTATTCATATAATAATATACCAAGGGTAAAACTAAGTCTCAACCTACACACACTTTAGTTAAAACGGATTATCAGGTTGTAGCATAGCTACAGAGTGATACAAAAATGTTTTGCAAGGTGGGCATGGTGGTACACCCATGTAATGCTGGCACTCACGGAGGTGGCTGGATTAAAAATTCAACCCCAGCCTGGGCTGCTTGGCTACTTAGTGAGATTGTGCCTCAAAGATTAAAAATTAAAAAAGGGCTGAGAAACCAGTTTAGGAAAAGGCTCTGAGTTCAATCCCCAGCACTGCGCGCGCGCGCGCACACACACACATACACACACACACACACACACACAGAGCATACGCACACAAGTTTTCTTGAAAACATTCAAAAGTATATCAGATATATGTATATAAATGAGAATAAAAAGCAATAAAAATGACACCAAATCTCAAAACAAGATAATAAGAAATTAACAATGATTTCATTTACATTGCATATTGTTAGCTTTAAAGTAGTTGTTCAGAGTACCAGATACAGGCATGCAAAATTGATCAAACAATTAGGCATTAACTGTTCCTTTCAATAAACCAAAAGAAATTAGTAGTACTATTACCATAGCTATCTTATGTGTATATTTTTCCTTTTATTATATTTTTAGTTATAACATCAGGTAATATGTAGAAATATTAGAACTGTACATGGGAAATGAAAGACTCCAAATTTAGAAGGGAAAAATAAGATTGACTGAAATAAAGAGAATACCAGGAATTTAATTATATCTATGCTGTTTTATTGCTTAGACAAAGTGCAAAGTTGGCTGGGGAGATAGCTCAGTGGTCTAAGCACCTGCCTGGCAAGCACAAGGACCCAGGTTTAATTCCCAATACTGCATGCCATGCCAGCCCCAGAACCCCATGTGCATGGTGCCAGCCACCAAAACCAGGTATGGTGGCACATGCTTATAATCCCATGCTGGGGAGGCTAAGACAGGAGGGTCACTATGAATCTGA